GTGGCGCGTAGCCCCTAGGTGGACCGGTGGCCCAGCCTCCCTCACACTAACAGGTTCTGGGGACAGACACCCCAGCACGCCCTGGGGGGCCGGCCAGGTGGGGGAGCCAGCTGGGCGCGCCCAGGGCTTCCAGGGGGGCTGCTTCTTCGGGAGGAGCGGCTCTCGGCTCGGGGGTGCAGCCCTGATTCCTCCGGCCGCCGGCCCTCAGGCCCACCTCCCGAACGGGGCACCTTGCTCCAGGTCCCCGCAACGCCGCCCCCCCCCGGCCCACGGGGCAACCTGGACCCTTTGCCAAGGCTGTTCCTGACAGCCCCTGCCAGCGACCCGGGGCCCCGTGCCTCCGAGCCCCAACCTCAAAACCGTGGGCTGAGTTCCTGGACAGCCGGAATCTGACGAAAACCCCCCGAGAATGGCCCCGGGCAGCTCACGTTCACCTGAACGACGCCAGGGGAGGCTCCGCTGCCCTGCGCTACGGCGGTGCCCAGCTCAGAACCGCGCAGCGACCCGGCAGGGGAGGGAGGGGTCCCACACGGCCACGTCACAGCTCCCAGGGCCAGTGGCCAAGGAGGACGTTCCAGGCACCCTGAAGCCGCCCCACTGAGCCCCTGGTGCCCTGCTGAGCTCCAGCCCCACGCGGATCCCGCGCAAACCTAGCCACAGACAGATCGGGACGCCCACGGCGCCCCAGTCAGAGACGAGGGTTTGAGCGGGCCAGCGCACTGCACCTTGCCACCGCCACACCTGACACTGGCACCTGCGGCTGCTGGGAGGGTGAGGGCAGCCTTTCCTTAATCTACGTCACGGGCGGAGGAAGATGCGTTCTTGCTCTGGCTAGACTCCAGGCTGCAGGTTGGGGGCGGGGTACCAGCCACTCCTGGCACCCCTGGGCCACCCCTGGGGCAGGGAGTTTTGCCCCACCTGGTGAGTCAGTGCCGTAAAAGTTTACTGCCCGCTGCAGACCTGCGGCCGGACCCACTCCCTTCCTCCTGGCAGCCCAGTATCCTACGTCAGTGGCCTCTGACCCTCTGGGCTGGGGCTCCAAGAGAACAGGAGCGACCTGCCTTCCAGAATGCGGCACACGCGGCTCTTGAGATGCACAGGCCTGGGAACAAAGGCGAGGAAGGCCTCTTTCAGTTTCACTCGGGCACCTGTTCCTAAGGTGCCAAAGGCCGATCCTGACAGACAACCCGGGCGCCTATTCTCAATGCCACCGCCCAAGGAAGGACGCAGCATCCACAGCACTTAGCGCAGGGAGCATGTTCTGGAAGGCACGGGAGCCTTGGCAACGGTGTGCCCAGGGTGGCAGCAGGGGAGGACACCGTCCTCGTGAATGGTGGTGGTGCCCCTGCTGCAGGGCTCTGGGGGCCTGCAGGTACCAGCCGCGAGGGGCTGCTGCAGACACACAGGCAGACCAGGAGCCCCGGGGAGGTCGGGACACCCAAAACTGCCCCCATCGCACAGCAGGGCCCAGTTAAGTGCCTTTCCCTGCCAGGCACCTTGTTGGCTTTCCCACGTCCCTGCCCGCCCTCCTGTGGACAGCATGGGAGCAGGGCACCCCTGCAGCTGACCGAGGAGCTACAGCACATGCAAGACCCGAGCTGGGACCGCTCAGCACCAGTCACGGGAGTCACCTGGCCTCATGGGGGTGGGGGCACGGCAGTCAGGGCACTCCGCAGGAGACCCATTCCCGTCTCCTCCAGGGCCCAGGCTCTAGGGAGGAGCTCCCCCGGGGCCTCCCACCCAGGCACCCAACACCTGAAGTCCAAGTGCCCCCAGGACTACTTGGTACACGACACAGATCTCCACCCAGGGCAGACCTGGCGCTTGGCAAGGGGCTCCCAGCCTCCGTACGGCGGGGAGGAGGCACTTCCTCCGACCTCCTCATGGGGCCCGAGAACGCCTGGCAAACCGACCAGTGCCCGCGTGAGCTGCTGCAGGGTGCCGTGCTTGGGGCCCGCTCCCCGACCCCTGCCCACCCCCGGTCACAGCACATGGCCATCTGACGGGCAAGGACAGGCCCTGCTTTTTTTGTTAAACATTTTGTTTTGTGGAGGAACAACTCACAAACCACACACTTTGTGCACTTAGAGCATACAACTCCGTGGTTTTCATATGTTCAGAGTTGTGCAACCATCATCTCTAGCTAGTGCCAGAACATTCCATCAGCCCAAAAGAAACCCTGTCCCCATCAGCTGTCACTCCCCTGCTCTGAGCCCCCTCCCCGTCCATGGAGGAGCCCGTCCTGGACGTGTCACACACATGAACTCACCCCGAGGGGCCTCCTGTGTCTGGTGCCCTCCCTGAGCGTCGGGTTTTGAGGTCTATCCACATGGTAGTACGTAAACAAATGATAAGTTTTATCTCTGCCCCCCCCCCCCGGGGCCTGGCAAGCTGGAACAGCAGGCGACGGAGCCTGAGCATCAGAAATCAGTTCACCCTCACCCGAGTCACCTGCCTCGCAGCAAGAGAAGCAGGGGACCTGTGGGTCAGCTGTCACCAATGGCAAGAGGATGAAGGAGGTTTGCTTAGCAGGATGGGAGAAGGGGCTGATCCCAGGGACAGGGACTGGGGCCCACTGGGGGAGAGGCACGCCTCGGACACCTGGGCTCGAGGCTGCACCCAGGTATGAGCAGGTGAGGAGGAGGCAGCAGGGCCTGGAACGGTCGGGGCGGCCATGCTCTCTGGCTACTGGACTCCGTCCCCCCGCCATGGACCCCGCGGCCCCCGACTGTGGGCACAGTGGCTGGACACTCCAAGCCTGCGCCTCACAACTCCCACGCCCGTGACGGCGTTCTGCAACGTGCACACGCGACACGACACGCACGTACACCTGAAGGTGTGCAGCGCGTGAGCGCACTCACACGGACACCCTCCTGTGTGGGCGTGCGCGCTACACACACGGACGCACACCTGTGCTCGCACACGCACACACGCTCACACTCCACGCGTGCACGGTGTTGGCACCACGGGGGCTGCCTCCCCACTCTGCACGCCAGCCTCACGGGGTGTTCACGCTTCGACGTGACCTCACCCCCACCAGCCGCCCCGCAGCAGCAGCAGCAGCGGCGGCGGCGGCGGCGGCGCAGCATGGGACGGGCCGGCAAGCAGGTCCCCGCCCCCGCCCAGCAGCCCTACAGGCCTCTTATCCAGGGGAGGCCATCCTGGGAGGGAGGCGGCCCCTGGGGACTGGACACAGTTGCCTCTTTATTCCCGGCCGCGCTCGCTCGCTCGCTCGCTCGCTCGGGCAGCGTTTCCGGCCTGGCCCTTGCTGGAGGGGCCTCTGACACTTTGCTAGGACTAAGCCGGGCCAGCCTGAGCTGGTCTCGCCCCAGTGGGAGCCAGGCCTGCAGGGTTCGGGGACCCAGGCTCCGTGTCCCTCCAGGTCAGGCCAGTGACCGAACCAAGGTGACGCATGCAGCTGGAGGACACCGGCTGCGGCCCACCCCGGCTTCAGGGGCTCTCCCGGGGTCTGGGCCCCCTGCCCCTCTGCCAAGACACAAGACACACACACCCCAGGCAGGTGCAGCGCTCAGGGGTTCGGCGCTAAGCAGAAGCGCCCTCCCGCCCTCCCGCCCTCCCGCCCGCCGAAATCCCAGGATGCCTGCCCCCGAGTCCCCACGACGAGTCCCCACGACGAGTCCCCACGACGAGTCCCCACGACGGCCGGCGGGGCGGCGGGCCCCAGGTCGGCGTCTGGCACTTGCCAGGCTGCCCGGGGCCGGCGGCATCGCCGTGGGGGACCCCGGGGCCGCTCACCCACCTCGCCTGCCCGCCTGCCCGCCTGCCCGCCTGCCCGCCCCGCCGCGGGCCCAGACGCATGCTCAGCGCCCTCAGGACTCCGCCGACGGCTGCAGGGGGGCCGGGGTCCCGGACACGAGCTCCGAGCGGCCGCCGGGCGCCTCCGGGGACTCCGCGAGGCTGGGGAGGAAGGACGCGGGCTGGCCACGGCCGGCGCCCCCCGGCTCGCAGCACAGCGCGGCTCCGGCCCCTGCGGCCCTCGCGCGTGGCCGCCCTCCTCCCGGCGGGGTCGCAGCCCGGCCCGGCCGCTCCTTCCCCGCCTGCCCGAGCCCCGCCGAGCCCCCGCCCCGGGCCGCAGGGCCCTGTTCCCCCGACACCGGCGCGGGCGGGGCGCGCCCTCCGAGAGGCGGAAGTCGGGGAGCCCCGCACCCCCGGCCGCCCGACCTCCTCCCCCCGGCCCCGGCCCCGGCCCCGGCCCCGGCCCCGGCCCCCGCGGCCGCGCCCCACCCACACGCCGGGCAGCCCCGCGGGGAGGCGAGGCCGGGCCCGGCGCCGGGCAGCGCGGGCGGGAGTCGCCGCGGAGCCGGGCCCGGGCGCGCACCGAGGGGCGTCAGCGGCGCCGCGCCGCCACGCTCACCGGGCGGGGGTCGGGGGTCGGGGGTCGGGGGTCGGGGCGGGCAGGGTCAGGGGTCACCAGGCGGCGTCGGGGTCAGCACGGAGGGCCCCCTTCCTGGGCGGCGGCGGGGACCCCGAAGACGGACGGAAGTAAAGGGGGCGCCGCGGGGCGGGGTCAGGGGTCACGCGGGGTCGGGGGTCGGGGTCGCCAGGAGGGCGGGGATACGCCGCCGCCTCCCTCCGCTCGCGGCCCCGGAACCCCGGCACCCCCGGCCCGGGCGCGCGCTCCCGCGGCGGGCGGGGCCCCAACGGGGCCGGGGAGCGCGGCTCAGGGCCGGGGCGGCGGCGGCGGAGCCGCGGCGAGCGTCGGGCCGGACGCGCCTCACCTCCGACCTGGGTCCGGCCGGGCGCGGAGCCCGCGGCGCCTCCGTCTCCGAGCTTCGCTTCAGCCGCGCTCACTTCCGGGTTTCGGGCGCCATCTTGGGGGCCCCGCTCACTTCCGGTCATGCCGCGGGGCGGGGCCTCCAGGGGGCGGGGCCTCCAGGGGGCGAGGCCCTGCCGCCTTCCTGCGGGGCTGGGACTCGGTGAGTCACGGGTTCGCGTCCCGCCCCCGCCTGTTTCTGTTGGGACCCCGGCAGGTGGCTTACCTGCGAGCCTGTTTCTTCCTCTGGCAGACGTGAAGATGGAGTTGAATCCGCCCCACCCCTGCGCTCTCGCACCTGACACCTGACCTTTCGGCCACCGGGGTCCTCCTGTAACCCCGACCTGAGCTCGAAGCCCCCTCCTCGGATACTCCCTAGAGACCCTCAGAAACGGCCGCCGCCCCAGCATGCTCTCCCTTAGTTGCCTCTGTCTGCTCCCCAGTAGGAGTCTGGGACCTCGGGGACCCCCTAACATGGAGCTCAGTGCACAGGGCAGTCTGGGGCGCCCCAGAAGCCACCCCAAGGGCGAGCAAGGTCTTCTCAGGCAGCCCCGGGACTTGAGATGCTCCCCAGCTGCCCGCCCCCACTAGGGCGTCCCAGGGCCTGATGCAAACGAGGCGGGGATTGGCGGCACTGCCAGGAAGAGGGTGGGACTCGCCCTTGGCACGGACGGCAGGTTTCCTGCGACTTGAACCCCGCACTGCGGAGTGGGCCAGGCCGGTTCGGGCAGATCCAGTCTGGGAGGCACCACCCCTTCCGTAGCTGGGTTTTCAGTAGTGAAAGCTCTGTCCCCATTTCACCGCCAGCCACAGGCCTCCTGTGCCCCGTTCCAGGCCCGGAAACTAAAAGTCCCCTCTCTGTGTGCTTTGCTTGCATATTTTGTGAACTCTGTGCCTGGCCTTGAGCCGGACAAAGTTGGGGCCCCAGAGGACTCAGTGCTCAGGCCCGCCCCCGGGAGGCTCCCAGTCTAGGCGAGACAGAGCCAGGACCAGATACTCCCATCTGCCCAATCAAGCCTGGGGCCCAGGGAGGGGTGACATCTCTGCCTAGTGAATTCCAGAGGAGGAGGGTATTGAAGCTGGGGCTTTGAAGTTCAAGTAGGAGTTTGCCAGATAGACGAGCGTAGGAATGGCGGTCTGGACAAATATGAGCTGTTCACAAACATGTAAAGGTCCAAAAAGGACGTGAGTATGCTTAAAACCTGTTTGCCCCACAAAATCCCCGGCCGGGGACTCCCTGCAGCCAGACCTGCAGGCACAAGGAGCCGATGGGGAAACCGAGGCCCAGAGAGGAGAAATGATTCATTCGGAATGAGCTCTGCCTCGGTATGTGTAGCTTCTGGCAGTTTGGGTTGTAGCTTTGACTTTGAGACTATTTTTTCGTAGCTAACGAAGATAAACCGTATTGAGCAATAAGCAGTTAAGATTCAAAAGCACGAACAAGCTGACATGGGGGATAGATGGCTTCCGGTTGCATTTTCCCATTTCCTCCCACACGGGACCGGCCGCAGAATTTGTGGCGCCCGACGCGAAACGACGGCGGAGCCCCTCGTTCAGCGAGTACTGAGAAGGTCACCGCGGCGACAGCAGAGCGTCAGAGCAAGCGCGGGGCCCCGGGTGCGAGGTCTGGGCAAAGCCCCGGGTCACACCCGCGACGTCCCCAGGCGGGGACCGCCGTTACCTGTGTGTCGCTGGCGGGCGCGCGGCGCTGCGGAGCCGTCCAGGAGCCGGCCCGGGGTCACGGAGCGAGCCGCAGGGCGGCATAGACGCGACCTGTGCCACGTCCACCTCGGGAAGCCACAAGGTCCCTGTGGGTAACTGCCTGGAACGGGGGCAGTCTGCCCGGCCGGGGTGGGTCCAGCCGTCTCCGCAGGGAGCAGCTGCCAAGTCCGGGGATGTCTAGGGACTTAGTCAGATTCGGGGATTTCCAGGGAATCGCAAGAGGCAGCCTGGGGGAGCCGCAGTGACAGGGCTCCCGAGCCCGAGGCCCCGCCAGGGGGCCCCGCCAGGGGGCTCCAGCGCCCGGCGACCCCCCGACAGCGCCACCCCCCACCCGTCAAGCAGGTGTGGGCATGGGGCGCCGCCGCCTTCTAGGTCCCTGACACAGCCAACCGGGCCCAGCGCCCGGCCGTCAGGGACGTTTCACGTGACCCCGTGGACCCTACCTGAGGACGGTCCACAGCCACCTGAGTGAGCGCTGAGCGCCAGCATCACCGCGAGGAAGCCTGAGGCCGGAGTCCGGAGACGAGGAGTTGGTTTTTCATAAAGGGGGGCAAGAGGCGGGGATGGGGTCCCCCCCCCCGACAGCCACAGCTCTTGCGGCTCAGGTGGCAGAAGGCCTCCCCCGAGGGCCGGAGCCCGCCCGGTGGTCAGATGCGCCCCCTCCCCGCTGCGCTGGGGACAGGGCTCGCAGAAGGCCCCGGGCTGTGCGGAGAGGCTGTGCCGCGGAGAGCCTCCCGCAGGCCGTCCCTCGGTCCGAGCCCCCCCAGGGGTTTTGCCCCCGCTCGAGGCAGTAGGGCCGGCAGGTGCCACACGGGGCACCCAGGTACGCGGAGAACAGGGTTTCGGGGGTTAAGTGCGGCCCCCGGAACACCCGGGATATACTTATGCTAAACAAGCAACAGCTGCGTGCCCCAAGGTCACGTCTAACTGGAAGTCCCGTGATTTTCTTGGTGACATTGGACGACCCAGTGTGGGGACACCACGGGCAGACATGGGGTCCCAGAACCGGGCCAGGTCCCGTCCGAACCTCAGCGCTGCCACCTGCCACACGGGCGCGGCCACCGGACCCGGCGCGGCCAAGGCGCGGGTGCCCTCACCGTGCGCGTTAGCCCTTGTGGCTGTAATTGTTTGGAAGCGCAGAAACCTTCAGAGAGACCCGAAAGTCGGGGCCCCTGGGGGCTTCCCTGCAGGTCGAGGGGGAGATTCCCGGGCCACCCCTCTGTTTCCCTGTCTGGGAGGTGCCGTGGAGGAGACCCCTGGGGAGGACTCCAGGGCTGGGCCCATCCTGTGGCCTGGGAGACTGAGGCAGGCGGAGGGCTCACCCCGGGAGGAGGAGCGGGGCTGCCAGGTGGCTCCAGCAGAGGCCCTCAGACCTGGGCAGGTGGGGGGGCAGGTGGGCGCTGTCCCGCGGGTGGGGGCAGGGACAGAGCCGCTTCCTGTTTCTCCACATTCTGGAAAGCCCCGGCGTTCCCCAGCAGTGGGAGCGCCTCCCTGCCGCCCTCCCGGCCGTGGGTCCGTCCCCACTTCTCCTTTCTGCACCCACTTCCCCTGCTGGCCCCGGCCCCTGCGGCTCGGCCCCTGCCTCCTCTCTGCCTTCTCTGCCCGCGCGTGCTCGGCCCATCCCTGCTCCTGTGCCCGCCTTCTCTCCCTCTCAAGCCACCCCCCCCCCGCCTCCCGCCCCCCGTGGTGTAGAAGGGGAAACTGAGGCAGGAGCCGGCGGCCCGCCCAGGTCCCAGCAGCCACATCCGTCGCCCTCCTGCCCCAGAGCTTTCTGGGTCTGCGTCCCCGTCTGTCACCCCGTCCAGCCCCCGCCTCTGTCCCCCACCAGCCTGGCTGCCCGTCCAGCCACCGCCCCAGACGCAGGCCCCGCAGGTCGTCGGGCAGTGGCTCTGCTGGCTGGCTCAGGGCCCCGCAGCCTCTGGTCCCCTCATGGCCCCGCCTGGGCCCCCAAGAGGGTCTCACCCCTGTCCGACCGGGGCTGCCTCTGAGCCAGGACCGGTGCAGGGAACAGCAAACCTGTCTGATGGGTTGGAGATCCGCCCCCGACAGGATCCGGGCTCTGCGCTGGGCTGGGACACGGGCTGCGGGGTACACGTGAGCCCTGCCCAGGCGGCCTCCCCGGGGGGCAGTGAGGCTGTGGGGGCGGGGGACCCTCAGGGAGAGGGCTCAGCGTGTGGGGGTCGGGAGGCCTGGCCCCCGGGGGGGGGGTGGCTGCCTTTATCGTGGGGACAGCAGGGGGCTGGGGGCAGAGCAGTGGCAGGGTAGGTCGGCGGGGGCTGGAGGTCGCTGCAGGTCACTGCATGTGCGAAGGCCTGGGACACTGGGGTCACATCCCGGCTCCTCTGGGGACGAGACGCGGGTCTGTGGAGGCTGATCTGCGGCCCCGAAGCCAGACAAAGGAGCAGACTTCGAATTTCTTTTTCCGTCAGGGGCCTATAGTGAGCAGGAGGAGAGTTGGGGGCGGGCTGGGGGGATGAGGGCCCTCAGGAGGCCTCCTGACCCGTACTCACCCGCAACCCCGGGTCACGGGAGCTTGGCTTTGTCCCCGGAGCACTGGGGAGCCATGGAGGACATAGAGCGGCAGCACGGGTGCAGCTGGGGCAGGTGGGCATAGGGATGCAGGTGAGCACAGGGGATACCTGGGGGGGCCACGAGGCAGACAGGGGGAGGGTGACTTGAGGCCTGGGGCCTTGCCATCACGGGAAGCATCTCAGGGGACAGGGAGCGGGGTGCGCCCGGGATGCTCCCAAGCCGCCGAGGAGCAGGACGGAGCCTGCGCGCCCTGCCAGGTGAGAGCCCCACCCGGCCAGCGTCCTCCCGCCTGTGCCAGCCCCGAGCACTGATGTCACCTTCCCCGGGACCTGCCCTGCCCTGGAGGGAAACTCCAGGCCAGCTGGGGCCTGCTGACTCACATGCAGGTCCCAGGTGCACCCCAGGAGCTAGACTCCGCAGCGACAAGGACCCCACGACCCCACGGCCCTCCGCCCCTGGGCTGAGGAAGGAACCGGGCTCCCCTCCCAAGTCACAGTCCCCATCAGAGTCTGCAGGGCCCACAGGCCAGCGCTTGGGGGCAGATGTTGGAGCTGGCCCAGACCTCCTCCCCAGCCGGTCACCTCGGTCACCTCACGTCCCACGGGCAGAGGGGAGCCTTCGCCAGACAGCACCTGACTGGACACTTCCTGGGTTCAAATCTTGGCTCTGCCGGCCCAGTGGCTGCATGACCCCAGGCAAGGGATTTAACCCCTCGGTGCCTCAGTGTCCCCGTCCACAAAACGGGGACAATCTGAGTACCTCCTTGGAGGGTTTTTATGAGAATCTGGCGAGAACTACTTGAGCAGGGCTTCGGGCATGGGGAGGACTTTGTGGTAAAAATGTTTAAAGGAAACAGGGTGCCCGGGGGGCTCCGTCGGTGACGCGTCTGCCTTTGGCTCAGGTCACTATCCCAGGGTCCTGGGGTCGAGTCCCGCATCGGGGCTCCCTGCTCAGTGGGGCGTCTGCTTCTCCCTCTACCCCTCACCCCTGCTTGTGTTCTTTCTAGCTCGCTCTCTCTCCTGCTCTCTGTCAGATAAATAAAATCTTTAAAAAAAAAAGAAAGAAAGAAAGAAAGAAAGAAGAAAGAAAGAAAGAAAGAAAGAAGAAAACAATTCACGGCAGCATGATTCATAATAGCCAAGAAGTGCAAACAGATGAACAGATACACACAGCGAGTCCCCCGCGCACGGGCACGTCCCCGGCCTCGAACAGGAGCGAGGTGCCCCCACCCGCCCCAGGACGGACCCCGAACCCCTGACGCTCAGGGAGGGGACCAGACACAGGAGGCCCCGCGGGGTGCGAGTCCACGTGTGTGACACGTGCAGGACGGGGAGGGGCCTCGGGGGCTGGGGGCTGGGCAGGGGTGAGGGGGACGGGGACCTGATGTTTGCAGGGATGATGAAAATGGTTTGAAGCTGCTGAGTGTGCTCCACGCAGGTGAATCGTGTGGTTGAAAAGGCTTCATTTTATGTTCTGTGAATGTCACCGAAA